AGGGGGGGGGGCGGCGAAGCAAGGGGGGCGGGCTCCCGAGGGCGTCTCACTCCGGCATCGCTCGGCCTGAAGCGGGAAAGGGGGGTTAGGTTTTCATTATGATTAATGAGCACGGTGTAGATGCTGTGCAGTCGTGAGGAAAGAGGGGAGAGGGAGACAGACAAAGAGAGACTGACGGAAAGGTAGAGAAAGAAGAATTTTTCAAACTACTTACATATGACATAATAACGATCATAATAATAATAATGATAAAATGACAATAATGATGGTGATGGTAATAACAATAACAAGAACAATAAGGATAATATTAACAACATTAATGATAATAATGATAAGGATGATGATGATAATGTTAAAGATATCAAAGACGGCTAGAGGGGCCCTTCGCAATTCCACGAAACAAAACATACATTCTCAAGATATTCATTCTCCTTCTTTCTCCCTCCTCCGTCTACCTTTCGCATCTCCCATCCATTTCTTTCCCTTGCCCACTCCCTTTCCCCTTCCCTCATCGTCCCTCTTTCCCTTTCCCTCGCTTTCCCTTTCCCTCTCCCTTCCCTTAACCTTAAGCCCCTCATCTGCCCCCTCCCACTTCCCTCCTTTTCCTCCTTAAACGTCCTTCTCACATCCCCTTTTTTATCTGAGTTACCCCTCCTCTCCCCCTCCCTTTCCCCTTACCCATCCCCATTTCCTCATTATATCCTCTCCGTTTCCCCTATTTCCCTCCTTCCCTTTTCCTGTTCTCTTTAAGCCTTCCCTTCCTTTTCTCATCCCCCGTTTCTCTTTAAGCCCCCTTCCCCTCCCTTTCTCCCTCTCCTCCCTTTCTTTTCTCCTCCCCTTTCCCCTCTACCCATTTCCCCTCATAACTTCATCCTAAATTTTCCGATAATCGCATAAATGATTGATGTGCATAAACTGACAGGCTAACTGCTCCTACACAGAGTACTTGCCACAAATAAGACAGACAGGATAATAGACAGACAGACAGAGAGAGAGACAGAGAGAAAGACAGAGAGAGAGAGTCAGAGAAAGACAGAAAGAGAGAGACAGAGAGAAAGAATGGTAGAGAGAAAGAGAGAGACAGAGAGTAAGACAGACATAAGGAAAGAGAGATATAAAAAGACTGACAGAGAGAAAGAATGGCAGAGAGAAAGACAGAGAGAGAGAGAGACAGAAAAAGATAGACAGAGGGAAAGACAGACAGAGAGAATTAGAGACAGAGAAAAAGATAGACTGAGGGAATGGCAGACAAAGGGAAACACAGACAGAGAGAAAGACAGCAAGAAAAATAGACAGAGAGATAGGCAGACAGGCAGATAGACAGGAAGAGAGAAACAAAGAGGCAAACGGCAGAGAGACAGACAGACAGGAGGCTAGAAATAGCTATTCCATACAGACAGACAAAGATAGAACTAACTGGCTACATTTTATGAGAGATCAGACTGGCAGACGACCTGACTGACTGCCTGATAATATGAAAAATGACTAACTCGTAATGTGACACATGACAGGATTTACTGATAAATGGATGCGCTGATAGATGAGGCAAAAATAGCAAATAAATCGAAAATATTTGAAAAAAGCGTATACACATAGCGCACAAGCAATCACATAGATAAAGATATCAATCGTTTAATTAAGTGTTTTAGCGATGACAAAAGAGTGTCTTTCTTTTTTAACAAATATTCATTGCTTTTGACGTTGTGAAAGGGTTGTTATACTTGCATAATTGTTTACAGTTATTGATCACTGTCTGTTATATTTGACTAGCTTGTTACACGGTCCGCAACGCACACAGAATGGGGGTACAAAGGGAGATGGAGAAGGAGAGGGAGACAGGAGAGAGAGAGAGAGAGAGAGAGAGAGAGAGAGAGAGAGAGAGAGAGAGAGAGAGAGAGAGAGAGAGAGAGAGAGAGAGAGAGAGAGAGAGAGAGAGAGGCAAACAGACAGAGAGAGAGAGAGTTACAGGCAAACAGACAGACAGACAGAGACAGAACAGACAGTCAGATAAACAAACAGAGACTAAGAGAAACAAACAGAGAGAGAGAGAGGGAAAGAAAGAGAGACGGAGAAACAGGGAAAACTGTTCCTTGGGTCTGGTAAGATTAGCAACCCGCAAGTTTTAATCCCTGGCTGGCTGACGTGCCTCCAGAAGAGAATGTCTAATGCACTGACACCTGACGGGTACACGGAGTAATGTGGGGGCACGGCGGACCTGTGACGAGTGAGGAGCAGGATAGAAATGAGGAGAAAAGAAGGGAAAGTATATGAATATGGAGGATCTATGCACATAAAAACAGGTACACATATATGCACGCACATATACAAATATAAATACACACACACACACACACACACACACACACACACACACGCACACACACACGCACACACACACAGAGGGGAAGTATATGAACGTGTGCGGACTTGCCTGGAGGATCTATGCACATAAACACTGGTACACATATATGCACGCACATATATAGATATAAATACACACACACACAAACACAAACACACACACACATACACACACACACACACATACACGCATACACACACACACACAGGGATAGCATATGAACGTGTGCGGACTTGCCTGGAGGATCTATGCACATAAACACAGGTATACACATATGAACGCACACATATAAATATAAACACACACACACACAAAGAAGGGAAAGATAAAGAGGAAGAAGGCGAAAGGTAGGGAAGGATGGGGAAGAGAAGGAAAGGAAGAGAAAGCAATGTGGTAAGTAGCAGAAATAAAGAGAGAGAGAGAGAGAAATGTCCGCTTAAACAGACAAAGGAGTTGAAATATTTATTAAGTGTGTGTGAAATTTATATACACACACACACACACACACACACACACACACACACACACACACACACACACACACACACACACACACACACACACACACACACACACACACACACACACACACACACACACACACACACACTATCGGCCTGAATGTCTCCTTCAATCTTTAGAATGTGAAGCAGGTTGGGAATTCCCGTCTCAACCCCGAGCGCCTGGCAGAGCATCGTCTGGCAGGATTCTTGAGCGAGGTTTAGTGCAGGGTCGTTATGTTGCATACGGGAGCGCGCTGAAATGTTGCAAATAGGCATGTGATGTTGGAATGATGTTTGAGTTCTTATTCAGCAAGCTACGGCGACGCTATCTTTTTTGAAGATTTTTTAAAAATTTCTTTTCAGTCGAGGGAAAAAGAAATCTATTATGTTTTGTATGTAAGATGTTTTTATTGAGGTCGTTAAACTATTTTTTTTTTATCTCTAGTCTTTTACGTAAAATGTTTTAGCGGTTTAGATATTTTGTTGTTTTTTTGCATTGTACGTCTTATGTATAAAAAAAACACCCTCTTTTGTGTGTATTCTTGGTTTTCTATTTTCAACCTATTCATATTTTCTTTTGGAAGTTTTTTACAAGTTTATCGTGAATTGAACTTTCTGATCTTATTCTTTTTTCCCGTATCAATTTTGATATCTTTTTCTCTCGGTTACCACCTCTTAGTTATCATTTGATATCTCTTTCCAATCTCAGTTTGAATTTCTTTTTTACTCTTTTCTCCACTTTTCACAAGGACCATTTCAGTTTGATTCTTTTTTACTTTTTCCACTTTTCTCTCGTCGCAAGACCATCTTTTGTTCTTTTTTTACTTTCCCACTTTGCTCTTCACAAGACCATCTTCATTTTTGATTCTTTTTACTTTCCACTTTGCTCTCGTCACAAGACCATCTTCAGTTTGATTCTTTTTACTTTCCCACTTTGCTTCTCGTCGCAAACCATCTTCAGTTTATTCTTTTACTTTTCCACTTTGCTCTCGTACAAGACCATCTTCAGTTTGATTCTTTTTACTTTTCCACTTTTTCTCGCTCTACGTCTTTTTTACTTTCTCCAAGACCATCTCAGTTCTTTCCACTTTGTCTCGTCACAAACCATCTTCATTTATTCTTTGTACTTTTCCACTTTGCTCTTCGTTCGCAAGACCATCTTCATTCTGATTCCTTTCACTTGCTCTGTCAACAAGACTTTCAGTTGATTCTTTTTACTTTCCACTTTGCTCTCTCGTCACAAGACCATCTTCAGTTTGATTCTTTTTACTTTCGCTCTGCTTCCATCGTTTGATTTCGCGTCTCGTCACAAGCCCTTTAAGTGTTGCGTCATCGGGACTTTTTTCTGTTGTCCTTCGGCGCCGTTTTGTTTCGAGGAAAGCCCGAGAGACGCCTTGGGATCAGCACTGATTTCCCTCGCCTCGTTCCGCTGACTAAAGATTATATCTACAGATAGTACACATGAAAACAGACGTATATATATACATGCTGAGATCTACACAAAGGAATACTTTCAACGCACACACAGACACAGACACACACACACACACACACACACACACACACACACACCACACACACACACACACACACACACACACACACACACACACACCAGACACACACACACTTACATACATAAAAACCACACGTACACATACACATACCTACACCAAAACACTCACACTGTTCTCTTGTATCCTTACTCCATTGGTCTTTAAATACACTTTCTGGCCTATGAACTTCCTCATCATATAATAAATACTTAAACTTGACTTTGGATAAATAAAATAATAAAATAGATAAACGAATGAAATAAATAGTATTTAAACGAATAAAAATTTGTATTGCAATCTTCTCTCTCTCTCTCTCTCATCTCTCTCTCTGTCGTTTTCCTCTCTCTCTCTCTCTCTCTCCTTTCTCTCTCTCTCTCTCTCTTCTTCTCTCTCTCTCTCTCTCTGCTCCTCTCTCTCTCTCTCTCTCTCTCTCTCTCTCTCTCTCCCTCTCCCCCTCCTCTCTCCTAATCTCTCTCTCTCTCCTCTCCTGGGTTAATTCACCAGCTTTTTTTGGCCAGAAATTCGAAGCTGTTATGCGGTCACTCCGTGCGGGTCGGGAAGAGCTCATCACTAAAGGCA